CGGTACCTAGGCAATGTGGATATCCTGTCCAGGTTTTCTAAGAGCGGGTGCCAGAGTCCGCTACTAGTCTCACGTGCATCTGGGAGGCTCAAGCAGATGTGATTGAATCTTGGTCGGCAATAGTTTGCTTTGGCCCTCGGTGGGGATGCATTGAAAATTGAGAGGCTGGTCGTCGATTGGAGCGAGACTTGATGTATTTGCAAAGGGGTCAACTGGTCAGAGCCTTACGGATGACGCCCCTCCCTTTTCGTGCCCTCGCTTGGGTCATGCATGCGAAAAAGCATTAGACGCAGCGGGAAAGCCATACGCTCAAATCAGCAAATTCCTATGGCCTGACTCTGCCGGCGCAGAGTTTGAGCAGCATGCAAAGCTGGAAACGGTGGAGCTCTCAATCACATAATGAAGGTACGAAGGACAACATGCGGCTCTGTCAAACCCGCGATGGGGACCGCGGAGTGAACAAGCCAGGACACCCCTGATGGATAGCGCCAATGTTCAAACGTTGCAGAATAGAATAGAAGACCACCAACCAATCGGTTCGCAAAGTTAATGGAATGCTTTGCCAGTCAGAGCTAATGGCAGATCACCGTAGAACCTTTGTGAACAAGCACAAGTACGAAGAACGAAAGATTGGATGCAAGAGTCTTGCCGCGCGTGTGGCCAATCATGCATGAACGATTTGGAGCTGCATGCGGCTCTGCTGACATTCTGGGAATCATAGCGGAGAAACTCTGGTTGGTCTCTGCATTTTCGCTGACCCCTTGTCGTTTCCTGCCCATTCAATGATCGAGATGCCTGCCCCCTCGTTTTTTATTGCTGGGTCTCAAGTTGCTTGCCTCTCCTCCATTTGTGCTGTAGCTCAAAAACATATCCACGGACTTTGCTGAAGGTTGGGATTCAATATTCACCAATATGAGCTCGGTCGAGCCAGGCCCATCCTACACTGGCAAGAAGGTCGATGGGACCTGGGATGTACTATTGGTGGTAGCTTTCGACGCACTAATGCGAGACTAATGCGAGGTTCAGTCCCGAGGTTTTTGACACCCACGCCACTTTGACGTTGGTGCGGAGATCCCAATCTTGAGAAGTCCCCAGCCACCTCAAACCGACTGCTTCATATCATCGTAGGCCCAAAATGGACGCGCTTGTGCAGTCGAGTCAAAGTTCAAGCACCTCATAATGCGGACAAGTTTGCAGGTTGTTGTTGCATTGCCTGAATGCTACAGTAACGCCTGCAGGTGCCCTGTTTGAAGAGTAGCCAGCAGGGATCTTGAAAACAAGAGGCATGTACTGTAACTTCCCCCATGATGAATTTGTAAAATGATGGGAATTGTGGTTTGCAGTGCAACGTTTGACAATAAAAAAGCTAATATATTTATTTGCCTGCCATCGTTTACTATGAAACCTTGCTATTGGACAAGGAGCTGTGAGCTGCAGACTCTGGAAATGACCTAATGTCCAAGCCCTCGGGTAATATTCCAAATGCGGAGCTTGACTACCGTCTTTTTGATACAGTTATGAGCATATGTATCTTCCGGTTACAAGACTATGGCTTATTCTTCCGCGTTTGGTGAGGACTTGGAGTTACATCGATCTACTTCGCAGCGTTTCAGTCTTCCGAGTGCCTGATGACGGACAGAAGTACCGATGACAATTAGCTTTTGCAGGTACTCCACGGTCTACGCAAGTACAGCAGCCCTGACCAATCATCTTTGTTCCGCAGTTACAGTGCGAATGAGTTGCAGGGAACCTTTAATGAGGCACAGGCTGACAACTGCGGGGCAGCGCTGTTGACTGACAAGAGTGCAAAACCCTAGGTCAATCAACCATGTCAAAAACGTGTACAGTGTGTATTGGTACGTAATCTGCACTGGGTGTGCCACATTTAGAAATTCGAAGATTGTTGCAAAAGAGGAAGCTATTTATGCTCTTAACTGTAGAGACAGGGCACGATCACTCTTGTTCATGAATCTCTTTAGACCGCTTGACTTCCAACTCGGGGAAAGCAGACCATCGACCTTACGATTCACCAGCCTTACCAGGAAAAGACCCGGTACTTGCGTTCTCTAGAAGGGATGTGTCTTGTCATCGCGATCCCTGTCCGAATGATGCGGGTATCGGAAACCCCAGAACTGAACCTCGCATTAGTGCAAACGTCCGCGGATGCACGCTTTGCAGCAGTCTCGCGCTGATACCTGCAGGTGCGGTGATTGGTAGGCGGTCGAAAGAGACTTGAAGTCTCCCACGAAGTTAGCGCTTCTGCCTTCTTTCTGCTCGCGAAACAGGCATTGGCACGATCTGCATGCCCGCTCTTTTAGGCATAGTCAGAATCCTGCAGCAGCCATTCCCAATTCATGGACAGGAACATTGAGTGGGCCTCAATGTAGCCCACGATCAGCCAAGCACGAACACGGACCAAGCAAGGGTGAGTGCACTGTCATACAGATGGGCCACTCGTTGAACGAGACACCGGCTATTGCGGGCTGTGATAGACGACGGTAGGGAAAATCGAGCGCGATCTATCCAAGTTGGCTGACGTCGCTATGAATTGATCCGCTGTCGCGCCTTGAGGTGAAGGAAGCGAACCGTCAATGTCAAACAGCGACAATCACCCGTACCGAGTGGGGTGTTGGATAGGGGTCAACTCTTGCAACAGTGGAGGCAACTAATGAGAACGGGCTGAGTCACTCCGTTTTCTTCCTTGCTATACCCGGTCAATCGTGATCTGCGTACTGTATTTAGCATGATTGCCTTGCCTGTTGCCTCATGGTCCACGAATCGCCAATTATGACACTAACCTTGGGGCTGAGTAGAACAGTATCGGCAATAGCACCGTTTTCCATTGTTGACAATGGACGCAATCTTACACAAACAGCTTTCTTGGATAGACGGACCTACCTTGCCATTAGGCACGCCCACCTTTTATAGGGTAGGCCGAGTGTCCGTAACGTGAAAAACTAGATGACTAGCTTATTTGGGACTAACCTCGGCTACGCGCACAGTGTGCGATCCTGACCTGGACACGCGCATGAAGGTACCGTTTCAGACAGGTCTACCCTGCCGATACATACTGTTAGAGCTTGGTTAGTCATCCCGTGGGACAAGTTGTTTCCTGCCCATCTATATTTCTTTGCTGCTTTCTGACAGTACTGTACTGTATGTACTGCACCACTCCGAGACTTTTTCACAATATGCGCGGCATTACTTCAGCTCATTGATGTGATTTGCGTTGCCATGCCGAGTCACTGTCATACATACAGTGCATGGTCTCAACCTAAAGCCCTACCGCGGAGGGTCCCCATTTCACTTCGCCCCTATTTCCGACTGAGAACAGCGGCTTGGCGTTGACTTGACAAAGTTTTTCGTCACTAGCATTTCTCTGTTGTTGTGCCAACAAATGTTATTGCCTTCATTCCTCAATTTGCTTTTCTTTTCAGCGCTTGGTAAAGGTCGGGAACCTTCTTCGCAAAGCAATCCAATTTTTCTTTCTTCTATTCGTAGAACCACCCCATTAATCCATCCATCGTGTATGATGTTTCCCTGAACTATGTATTGAATCCGTTCTTGACACCGGTCAATGGGCCCAAGTCTGCCTACGTCAACAATCATGGATGGAACTGCATACATTACCCACAAATCTCGCGACTGACCGGACCACAGCGACGGTTTCAAGAGCGAATCGGAACTCCATCCGGTTGAAGGTCACACGGATATTGAGGTCAATTACGATATCATCCACGGGGCCAAATACGAAGGCAGCGACCGCTGCATCACCGTGGTCGAAGATGAGGTGGCCCACCACGATATGCTCGACGAAACCGGCTCGGAGGGTAAGCCTGATGAAACTGCCGCCAACTTCAGTCAATCACTGGAGCTGGAAAACACCGACGAAGATGTTTTGTGTGACGTCCCTATCTCGTTCCCCGGAACTTGGAGCTCGCCATCTGCATTCCAGTCCGCCTACGGCAGACCGCACCTCAAGACTGGAGCAAATCAACTTGTATTCTGGGCGACTCCACTACATACAAGCTTATTGATTTACCGACTATAATATTAAAATCACAACGTAGCCAGTATCGTCGTGGCCAAGGTCCACACAGCCTGGATTATCACTTTTTAAATAGGTTCATTAGCCGTGTGATTTTAGCGAATTGGACTTGGATCCCAAAACGGCATAGATTGGGCATGAGCTTGTCTGATTAGTAAACTCCAATCCATGCTAATCGATTGGTATCCCACCGTACTAATTAGGCGTAGGCTGCATCACAACCCCAACACTTGGCCGAAACTTCCTCCACTCCTTTCCAACTACCACCAAGTGCACATGCCGGCAGAGCATACAGTACTGACGTCCAAATTCTGATTTCGAGGATTGACAACCAGCGTCCCATTTCTGTGGCTAAATCTTTCCGTCATATGACTCAACGGCCCATCTCCCATTCCTCCCGAAACCGGCTACTCACCGGTGGTCGTCCAATCGTACCTCGAAACGCGGTTGCCCCAGTCTCGAGACTTGAAAAGACCTATACGAGTTGGATTCCTCAACTTGGCATTGCTCTACCCATCAACGAGGAGGAGTGTCTGAAGCGAGTTCATTACCTTGCCTTTGCGAAGCTGCACGAAAAAGGAACACCTACCAGCTCCTTTGTGCAGCATATTCAAGGGGAACAACATGGCGTTGATGCGAATAATGTCAGCCATATCCTCTGGGTGGGAAGGCAGTGGGACTCAATTCTCTCCCTGTTCGATTCTATTGTTCAGAAACTCGGCAAAAAACACCCCACCTTCAAGCCACATGGCCTCATGGTCCTTCTCAAGGCTGGTTACACGTGAGTAAGGATCGCACTTCTTGACCCATTCATCGTTCAGAGTGTCACTCATCCACCATCAGCTGGTATAGAGCCAAGCAAGAGCATCGCCGCACGGCACTTTTCAACCTCTGTTTAACAACGAATTTACTTGAACGAGCAAAGAGCTATGGAGACTTGATGTATGACAGTTTGGAAGACATAAA